TTGAGATGCCAGGGTTAGGTCAGAGGGGAATATAAATAAATATAATCAATATATCCTACGCACCTTTGCCAGGTTTTGTTGGACGTGCCACGATTCGATTTACTGCAGCCATTCTTCCATTAAAAAAAATCTTACTAGTCATCACAAAAGGTACTAATGTCATATTACATATTATCTAAATACAGAAAGAAAAAAAAACATTCCTTTAAGAAAAGTCACGATCTTGTAAAATGTTTCTTTTATACGTATTTAAGAAAACTTATTATGTACGATTCAACGCAATTCTTACAGCCCGGGGCATTTGTCTCTACGTGGGCATTAAAAGAGTAGGCGTGTTATTACGACTAAATAAAATGTCGCATTTGTCTACTTAATGACACTAAAGTGGTTGTCAAATGTTGCGAAGAAAATTGCATATGAGACAGATCAACTTGAAAAGTGAACTTTTACAGTTGACACTACTAAATTCCATTTTTCATTGAACCATAAAAGTTGTTTTTAGCTGGCGATAGGAATCATATTGTTTTATTCGTTAAATCAATCTCAGTATATTCGTCTTCTTTGTGCCTCGTCCATTCAAGACGTGGGAGATCATGGCTCTCCGCAAAATTCTTATCCATTTTATGTTTTAGTATGGCTTGCTTTTTCGCTCTTCCTTTCAATTGATTTCTGACATTCCTGCAGACACACTTTTAATATAGGTTACTTCTTCTGTGTCATCCTGTTTCTAAGTGATTTTCATCTTGTGCAAGCCCCAAGAGCCACTCATGGAAAAGGGTTACTGAATATATTTATGCAGACAGGTGGGAAGATAACGATTAAACCTAGATTTGAACAGTTTAATATTGTAGTGATCGGGGAAGTATCCTCTTGGGAGTTGGTTTCACAAAACAGCCGTTCGTGAGAAGAAGGTGCTTGTGTGAAACTTACGTCTCACCAATGGAATACGAAGGGAATGAAGGTAGGTCGCTACAACGTGCGTAGCGCGGGGGTGGGGTCCTAGCCGTGAAGCTTAGAAATGGTGGAACTAAAGAATGTAGTTCGTCTGAGAACTTTCATTTCAAATAGCACCAGAGCAGGGAGAGGTTTGCGATGTATCGTCTCTAAGAAAGAGGTTGTTGGGTGGAAAATAATTTGTCACCGACAAGGACGCGGAGACGCTTTTGGACTCTGTCGAGCCTGGAGAATAAAGACTGGACAGCTCCTATCTATGTTAAGGATAGTTCATTTTAGTCCTGCTTTCGTTTTTGAGAAGGCAGAGCAACCCAGGAGGGGTCCGGTACTTACTGGAGTGGTACACCACTTTTCAAGCATCTTTTGCGTTGGATCGTATGTACGAGCTCCACTTGAATTCTGGATTGGTTTTAAGTCCCGATAGGCACTCAAGGCACTGGAGATCAGAAAAGCATTGTTATCTCGATAGATACCGTGTTTACTATTCATTCCTTGTGATTAAAACCAAGCTGTAATGGGTATTAGTTTACGTCACCAAAAACGAACGTTCCAATTTCAAGCGAAGAAAGAGATCGCTGTTCTTACGGATATCTCCATGACATCATGGATTTCCATCCCTGTCATTTATTTCTGACAGCCCTAATAGTCTAAGCCATCGAACGGGAACTGGTCGCAACAGATTCCTCATTACTGGCAGACCAATTTCCCGACAGCGACTTCGGTGGTTGGTTGACGTGGGAGAGGTTTGGGATCTGCTTGTCGTATTGTTGGCATCGTCCTCGCGTATTGATTAAGCCGAAGGAGAATGAGAAAGTTCCGAATGTTAGAAAGTGGCCATTCATCCCGATGTACTGTAGCCGCATAGAACAAGTTTTAAAAAAATGGTGGATAGCGGTCCCTGACGGGAGCAATTAACTCCAAGGTCAGGTTTGAAAAGCTTCGCTGCTGAATATTGCCACAATCCATAAGAATGAAAGATGAGGTTGTATCACAGGTGAACGACAGTCGAAAGCTGAAATAGTGCCTGCGACTAATTGGACATTTTCGATTGTAGACACGAAAATTGTGTAAAGAATGCAAAGCCTAACAAACAATGTTGTATATATTACTTACATTTCTCAAATTTATAAATCAGATATCATTATTTTCCTCTCTCACTTATATATATATATATATATATATATATATATATATATATATATATATATATATTACCAATATATATATATATATATATATATATATATATATATATATATATATTGGTAACAACATATATATATTGGTAACAGAAACCATTGGTTTATACCAACGACTTTCGATACTTCATACTTCTCAAATTCATTCTCGTGTGGTCATGTGTGACGTCATGAGATGCGGTGCGATTTTCGCTTCTAGCGTCTTATATGCACGTGTTTATCGTTGCTTAGAAATCATCTATGTAAACATTGACAGACTATCATCACTGTCTTGTTCGTATATTGCTTAATATGTTGTAATTGACACCTTTGATAATGGCTTAAGTAAGCCGAAAGCTTAGATTGTATTAAAAAAATATGGATCAATATTGTGAATTTCTTTTTTCGTTCAACGATAATGTTATTAAACTTATCAGACGTTACGAAAAAAAATACATAAAATAAATAGACAACACTTGTCTATATCATTTAATGAAACGTATATATATATATATATATATATATATATATATATAATTGTATGTGTGTGTGTCTGTGTGTGATAGTCTGATACACATTCAGAAATATTTAATGGGAAAGATACTTAATTTTTTCAGTTTCTCTTGACCTTAATATGACATTCTTACTTGATTGTGTTTCACAGAAGTTTCAACTCCTTTTGTCCAAGTTTGCGTATTCTTTTCCCTCTATTGCATCACAGTTCAATACACTTTTGTTTGTAACGGATATTTTCCTGTCTCTTAATACTTTGCTTTGTTTTAGTAACATCTTCCCCATGAGATAGACAATCATGGTCTTACACTACCGCCTGTCCTTTACATTCCTTATCAACGATAGTCCCTTTGTTGACCCTCCCGCCCACATTAATTCATCAAGTCACAGCTGAAATTTTAAATAATATATATATATATATATATATATATATATATATATATATATAATATTAGTGGTAAATATACACATACATATGCAAAATATTATTTTGAATTCTTAAAAAATAAATATAACGATTACCTAATCTAGCAAGGACCTATATTTCTATGTACAAAAACACATTTTTATGTACAAAAACACATCGTTATATTTATTTTCTATGTTTATATTTGATTTGTAACCTGTAGTCGATATTAAATTTGTCCAACTTTCTCAATTACACAGCGTCCCTTTCAGTAAAGGTAGTTCAATTTTATTTTCCTTCGCCCCATCTCTCTCCCCCACCACGTCTTTCCCTCCCTCTTATTCTGATCTTCAACATTTAAATCGTCTATGGTGTGTGTATGTCACCACGAAATGTATCTTTATGCATTAGACATCCGACAACATTCATATTTCTCTTACTTAAACCCCTTCCACTCACCTCTCTAAAACTTCTCTCTGTTAAGGTTTAATCTCCCACCTTCTCTCGTCTGTAACCCCTCTCTTTAGCTCTAACATTCGTCCCACACCCTCATACTTACACTCTCTCTAAATTCTGTTTTTATTTCCGGAGTTGTTTTTTTCGTTTTTTTTTTTTAGATTTGTAGGTCTGATGAATTGGATCGTATTTACGATTCCAATGGAATAAATTATGACCATGGAATATTAGTGTTTAAGCCTTTTTTATTATATATATATATATATATATATATATATATATATATATATATATGAAAATTAAATAGTTTTCGAAAAGTTTCACATGTGGTGAAAACTAGTAAAATTACTCAAGGCAAAATAACAAACATTGAACATAATAGTAATTTTTTTTCATGCCTTATGCCTCAACTTCCATACGTTGGCTTTGAAGAAATAACCATTCACGACTGTCGTGATCTCCAGAAGTTTCCTGCCTTCACTTTGTTGATGATTTCGCCTACGCATGCAACTAGCAGTTGTGGAGTGGTAATAAATCCGAAATATTTACTCTATCTATCTATCTATCTAGCTAGCTAGCTAGCTAGCTAGCTATCTGTGTGTGTGTGCATGTGTGTGTGTGTGCGTGTGGGTCTGTAAAATTTTCATTAAAAACGTGTGACAATGTGCCCTGATTAACACTTTCACTGCTACTCATTTGCCCAGTGCTGCCCCCCATCCGGCCAGCCATTTTTAAAGAAAATGCCAAATTTCAACCTACATATTTTATTACACAGAAAACTGTCACCAGTGTGTTTTACAGCATTCCATTTTCATGGATATACCGGAGAATGACTTAGCAGATCAGTAATGGGTATACACACGATATCTTTTGAAGCATTGTCCTTTGTGATTTTACAATAGATGGCGCAACGGACACTCATACCAGCAGTATCCAAAAAACATAGGTTTCCGTACTTAGCCAGCTGGAGCAAGAAAAGAAAAATGAAGATCTCCGTAGTTAGCAGCGGAAGTGTTAAATTTTCATGCAATTCTTCATGTGTTATAATATTTTATTTCTTTTCTGGACGTTTATTTTATAAGTTAATTGTCCACATGTTTTAAATGTTTGAAATCTTTGGGCTATACTTTTAGCCACTAGCAAGGACGTCATTCATTTTTTACTTTTAACTGAATGTATGGGTTGTTTTGTGTATGTATCTAGAATTATAGGAATGTTTTATTTTCCGAAACCGGCCAACACAATGTGGTCGTGTTCATAATTGATATTATGGTGTTTTTTTTTTTAAATTAATGATTCGGCAGTTATTTTTACACTTTTTACATGTGGTTGAGACTATTTATTATTTTTTTCTTATGAATGATTATGCTGTGAATAGAGTTTGGCCGGTTTACGTGTATATTTAAATTAGACCTTATTGAGTTATGGAGAAAAAAAGTTAATGGCTTTAAATAATCCGAGAATAGTTGAGTCAATTAATTTCTCTCTGTCAGTCTCTATCTCTTTGTCTCTCTCGGTCTATTTATCTCTCTCTCTATCTGTTTTACTCTCCCTTTCTCTCTCCCCCCCTCTATCTATCTATCTATCTATCTATCTATCTATCTATATATTTTTTACTTTTAACTGAATGTATGGGTTGTTTTGTGTATGTATTTAGAATTATAGGAATGTTTTATTTTCCGAAACCGGCCAGCACATTGTGGCCGTGTTCATAATTGATATTATAGCGTTGGCTTTTTTTTTAAATTAATAATTCTTATTTTTTACACTTTTTACTGTGGTTGAGGCTATATATATATATATATATATATATATATATATATATAGGTAGATAGATAGATAGATAGATAGATAGATATAGTAAAGGTAATCAATCCGTTGGTATATAATCCGTGTGTATTCTAGTAATATTAGTTATTAAAACTGATCCACAGAGAGCTCCCTGTATTTATTACAACAGAGCATATGTATTTTTACAGCAAAAAAAACAGAAAATTACCTCAAAATAGAGGATAGTCTATTTCAAGCTGTTCTGTACGCGGCAATCATCACCCCCTAAGTGTCTGTCTCGGAGCATTGTTTCAAATTTAAAAGGTCAGGATGAGAACAAATGTATGAGAAAACTCCTTAGTAATTTCTATTGGGAACAAAACAGGAGTTTGTGCGAAAAAGGGTTGAAAATTTTGTGGGCCATCAGAAATCTCTTCTCTTCATTGTCAAACGGAGAAAAGTAGCGTGGTATGGAGACATTACAAGACATGACAGCCTGTGCAAGACCATTATGCAGGGCAGGGTTGAAAGTGGACGTACGTGAGGACGCCAACGCAAAAAACTGGTTGGGAAATATCAAAGAATAGACATGTAACTGTACCAGAAATGTTAATAGCAGACATTGATGGCCCATTTTAGATGAGAATCAATATAGCTACCCCTCTAGTATTAAAAAATTCAAGGATGATGATGATGATGATGATGATGATGATGATCAAGGGGAAAAATCGTCAGTGACTGCGTAGATTATGAGTTGCCAAAATTTCCGATATGTGGATGACATAATGTTGGTTGTAGCCATGGAAAGGAAACTACAGTTACTCCTCCAGAATATAAAAAAAAGCTGAAAATGTGGCCCCGAAATCCGAAGCATTGATCTCTTATCTATTATCAGTTCTCCTATATGACGGTGAGTGCTGACCTATCTACATACAAATCAAGAATAAACTTCGTGCAACATAATTGTGGTTCTACAGAAGGATATTGGGAATACCATCGACTGAAACTGTTTGTATCGAGGAAGTTTTAAAGAAAATAGAAACTAAAAGGAATCTCATGCCCCAAACCAGAAGAAGACAACTGAAATGTCTGGGGTAAATAATGCGAAAATAAGGTTTAAAGAATTTGATACTCATATGACAAAATGAATGAAAGGGCGACAGTGGAAAACAACCTGCCGCCCTTTTCTTATTATAAGACGCTTTCTTCTATAAAACCATCCTGAGTCGATAAATCGAAGGCTGGTGACGGGAGTTATAATTCTGGGGTATGGGTTGAATGCCACCTCCCCAGTTACGTCCGAAACCTTGAAATAGCGTTTAAAAATGAAATAAACGTTTTGAGAAAAGCTGTTTAGGCATTTAGAATGATGGGAAAGAAACGAAATTTCTGTTATAGTAACAGCCGCTTAGATAACACCTTCCTTCTTTCTTAAACTACTGGGCAGCAGAATTTATGGTAGGTACTTTAAGGATAATACTACTGTATAATACACTTTCGTTAGTATATGCTATGTATTTGTGCTTGATTAACTAATCATACTTAACTTATTTAATGACGTCACATATTGGCGCGCAAACGCAGTAGCGCGCCAACAGCTGCAAAAGCCATTTTTGTTTATCGTCACTGACAAAGATACATCAGTATGTGTTCCGTGATTGCCATTACATATAGTTGCACACGTATCAGCATGTGGGCTATCAACTGATCTCTTTCACCAGTTCAAACGGTGAAATCAACGGGTTTGGATGTTCTTGTACCATTGTTTATAACTGAATGAAATATTTAGTTCAAAATATGGTCTTCCACTGTCAGTCAGAAACGAATGCTATATCTTTACGATAGTATGATAATTTTTTTATATTTTTTCAGATACAATGGCTAGAAAGACGCGATATGCTTATATCATAGGTTAAAGGTTACTGGTAGTAGATTATGCTAAAAACGCTCTCAAGAACTTAGTGCTTGTAATAAACTTGTCAAGATTAGCAGTAAAGAGGATTACAATCAGTAATACCGATATTACATTTTAATCTACATATAAATCAAACATTATTTTTTATCCAAATTTACGTTTATTTAGTTAGAAACTAGTGCCCCATCCTGGTTGTGATGAATTCGTCACGAATAGTGCAGTCTGCAATCAGGTTAGGTTTCAGTCGTATTATAGATTCTAACTTCTCTTCTAATGATTGCATTCTAAATAGTTACCATAAATTTGGTATTTCTCGGTCTGTAATGAATTCATCATGATTAGTCGGGTTTTCATGCTGAAATATACTATTCAATGAGGAAAAATGTGGAGGGCCACAATTTATAAAGAAAAATCCTGTTTCAATGTATCTTCCTTTCATTTTTCTTTGTGCTGGGAGGCGTCTAATCCTTCGTGGCAACTTATAAGCTAAATAAGGTACCTAGCGAGTTTGATTAAATGAATTGCAGAACCGAGTTTAGGAGAGAAAACAAAAAGACAAATCTTATTAATACCTGCTGTTGGCAAATCTCTACTAAATAAATACAGTTCATACAGGTGGAGCCTCGTCTGGGTATCCTCTCTACCCGAAGGAGGAGTATTTGACCAGCACAGCCGAAGTGATCTGTTCGACAGTCCGACTTGTAATATTTAACAAGCACGAGGGATGTATATGGCACAAGGCCGAGTTTACCTCGGCCAAAAAATATTCCCTAACAACCCTTATAAACGGGTTCAGGGTCTGTCTACCTCCCCGGAAGAATCTTTGCCCTTCGGCAAATCCTCGTCCTGGTTCCTCTCTGCCTAAAGTTAGAGAGTTAGACAGCAGCTGCGAACAGCCTAAGCTTCAGTTGAACAATCCATTCGACTGTTATATTTAACAGCACCCCTTCGAGGAATGTATATGGCACAAGGCCGAGTTTACCGTGAGTTCCGAGACCGTAGGTTCAGCTAAAAAATGTTCCCTTAGAACCCGTATAAACGGGTTCAGGGTCTGCCAACCTCCTCGGACGAAAGGTTTCCTTTCGGCAAATCCTCGTTCGGTTTCCTCTCTGATCAAGGCATAGAGTTCGACAGTAATGAACAATCTATTCGACTGTTAATATTTAACATCCCCCCACGAGGGATGTATGTGGCACAAGGCCGAATTTACTGTGGGTTCTCCGAGCCCGTTGACTCTGCCAAAAATATTCCCTTGGAACTCACATAAACGGGTTCAGGGCCTTTCTACCTACCCTGTTGAATTGAAACTTTGCCCTTCGACAAATCCTCGTCGGGTTCCTCTCTCAGTTATAAACAATCTGGTCGACTGTTCCCCAATGACTTCTCTCTACTAATCGTATAGTAGGGGGAAGAGTCCAACATAGACTCTTTAGAGGGAGGCCACTACAACAAATAAAAAAATACATCCACGTCCTGGGTAAGACGATAAACTACATCAAACAACATTGATGACATCTGATCAGAATCCTGATCAAGAGATTTTAAGGAGAGTAGAACCACCTCTTAATTGCTGGTGTTCCCAGGTCCACCCTGACCTGGGGTGGTAGCAACTGTTAGGGTCCCAGCTATGGGCAAATAGTTAACCCCTAAACTGGGGTATAAACATTATGAAAGTGTAAAAATAGGTTATATACCACAATAAATTTTTGAAGAAACATTATTACCAGCAATTCATTTTTACCAACACTACATTTTTGAGATGGAAAAAATATTACCTGCAATACATTTTGAAGAAAAATATTACTAGCAATAGAGTTTGTGAAAAAATATATTAGCAGCAATACATATCTTTTTTTAAAAAAAAATTACTGTTGTGGTAGGATCCACCTAATTTACATAGTGGAGTACCGACCATATAAATATGGGTTGGTACCGGGAAGACGGGTGAGGAAGAAGAGATCCAATCCAGAGACTCTACCCGACTGCGATTAAGTCAACCCATTCTACAGGAACGGTCTTCCCAAGAATATACCAAACTATCTGTAAATATTGTGTACACGTTCTTTTGTCAATACATTTTGTTTAAGTACATTTTGTGTTGTATTATTATTATTATTATTATTCCATGCTTTATTCAAGTTTCAACAATTACCTAAATAAAAATCTTGTTGGGATCAAGTAACCAACTGAGGTTGATATGCCGTAAAATAAAACAAACTAATCCAAACCAAACCAATCTATTTTGAGTATTTTAATATGGCGTAGAAATTCCAATTCTCAGTTGTAAAAAGCGTCCCGAAATAAAATTGCTTCATGGAACACTAAAGTATTACTGTGGACCCCCAATTTGCTATTTTTTATGTGGACCCCTGACAAAATTACATGGACCACGAAGGTTCACACGGGCACTAGTTGAGAACTATGGTATAGATGAACATGTTTTTTTTCCTGAAAAAAAGGAAATTCTTGTAGCTTTTGAGCCTCATTCTGGGTACGATATGGCACTAGATTGTAATACGGGTAAATAAAAAGTCAGTGAAGTGTGTAGAAGCTTTTTGATAACGTCCTGCTGTCAAGAAATTGTTTAAACAGACATTTTTTTTCACGGACAATGAACATCATCTAAAACCACGTAAAGTATGTAGTTTGGCTTATGTCTCCAAGACAACGCTTCCTTGTACTCTGCATGCGATGCATTAACATGATTTCAGGATTATAAATAATTCGCTGTATTACTGTGCTTACAAACCCTCCCCAAACCTCAATCTTGCAAATATATTAATGGATAAGTCAACATTATTATCATTCAAGCGCCAGACCACAGTAGAAAAATTTTGTCTTCACGCAGAGATCAAGCAAAGTCGGGTAAGTTTTGTTTAGATGGTACATGGAAAATTGATGTTTGTGTACTATTTACATTATTCAGACTATTGTCCTCATATTTATCTTTTCAGTATCTGTCTATATTTCTGAGATGATATTATGTACAATTTACATTATTTATTGGCCCTTCAGTATATGTTTCGGCACTATATTGTCTATATTTCTGTGATGAGGTATTATGTACTCTATTTACATTATTCAGACTATTGTGCTCATCTTTGTTGCCATATTTATCACGGTTGGGATGTCGAACTGAACCCTTTATTGGGATAGACTGTTCTAGTTCCACTTGCCAGTTATCTCCTGTTAATTCACCTCTCCAAGTTCTCCACTGCCTTCACCAGGTATTGAACTGACAACTCTTTGTGTCCTGTCATTGGATCTAACCAACGTCTTATCCACTGTGCCATGTGTCCTTAAGAACGTCTGTGTATGAATTTCTGGGAATTATAAATTTAATATCTTCAGCAACCATTTTTACTAGTGCTCATATAGCAATTTTTGCTTTTATGATATATGTTTTTTACCAGATCTCATATCGCAATTTTCGTTGATATTGCTTATATATGGCTCTCCTTATTACTGGTTCCCATATATTATTCATTTCTAGGCTTGGTCGGCTCAGGAGATTTTTGTGAACTAGCATATGTGCTGATTCCTTAAGTTTATAAATTTTCCAATGATGCTCTTTCTGTTAATTCCTTTTGCATATTGTTGATCTGTGGCACGTGCAGCTAGAAGAGTCTATCCCAATGAGCGAAATAAATGGTTCAGTTCGACATTACAACCACCTGAGGAAGGCCGGGGCGTACAATGTCCGAAACGTTGTAATAAATATGGCAACAAAGATGAGGACAATAGTCCGCATAATATAAATAGTGTATATAATACCTCATCTAAGATATGTAGACAGATACTGAAGGCCGAAACGCTGTGATAAATATGGCGTCAGATATAAGGATATTAGACCGAATAATGTAAATAGTGTACATAATACCTCATCTCAGAAATATAAACAGATACTAAAGGGCCGTAACGTTGTAATAAATATGGCGACAAAGATGAGGACAATAGTCCGAATAATGTAAATACTGTACATAATACCTCATCTCAGAAACATAAAGAGATACTAAAGGGCCGTAACGCTGTAATAAATATGGCGACAACGATGAGGACAATAGTCCGAATAATGTAAATAGTTTACATAATGCCTCATCTCAGAAATATAGACAGATACTGAAGGGCCGAAACGTTGTGATAAATATGCCAACAAAGATGAGGACAATAGTCCGAATAATGTAAATAGTGTACATAATACCTCATTTGAGAAATATAGACAGATAGTGATGTTTCTCTATCTCCCTCTCTCTCTCTACTGTATACGACAGGAAATCAAGAAGCCACAGGTTAGAAGTACGAGAGAAAGAACTATTATAATAGAATTTTCGGTTACCTCTTGCTATGCCAAGAGTCAAATAAGGATCCCAAGTTGCTATTCAAGTTCTGAATTTATGAGGGCACGGTACCAAAGAAGAAAACTCATTAGTACAATTCTCATGGCAATATTTATAGAAAAGATATAATGAAGCCATTGCGAACTGAAGTTGTGATGCCATGTATAGCTGACAACTTTACAGACTCCGTATTGGACTTTATGAAGACTCTTTAGATCTGTTGAAGAATCTAGAGATAAATGCTTCAATATTTGTTTATTTCCATAAATACCATCTGCTAATATGTCAAGAGGAAGCGGATTCGATAATGTCGTGATCTCTTGAATTCACTTCTTCTGATACGAGAAGAGATATAACTAGTGAGTTTTTCAAAATGATTCAGCCATTTCTGACCTCGTATGAAAAGAAATAGGTTCTGGTCATTTTGAAGCTATGACTGAAATAATTTGCTTCTTCTTCCTCATGACTCACTTAAGGACGGGTATGTTTTATAATTATTGAAATGAAAAACGGATGGATGAACAGAGAGTAGAGGTTTACAGAGAGGGTAAACGGCGTTCTAATTTCTATATATATTCTAAAGCGGAAATGCTATATATATATATATATATATATATATATATATATATATGTGTGTGTGTGTGTGTGTGTGTGTGTGTGTGTGTGTGTTTATGTGCTTATGTAGAATATTCTGTTTTACTTGCTATACTGTCACTGAGAGTTCGGACATGATGGTATGATCTAGCATGTCCTTCTTCAATTCGGATTGGAAATGGATACGTGTGTTCTCAGTGTTAGAAAAAAATTGCATCTTCATCTATCTATCTATCTCAGTCTGTTCATCTATCTCAGTCTGTTCATATCATCTATCTATCATCTATCTATCTATCTCATCTTTCATATCTATCTATCTATCTATTTCATCAGCATTCATATCTATCTATCTATCTATCTATCTATCTCAGTCTGTTCATCTATCTATCTATATATTTCAGTCAGTATCTATTCATCTATCTATCTATCTATCTATCTATCTATCTATCTATCTATCTATCTAGTCTGTTCATATCTATCTATCTATATATTTCAGTAACTATCTATCTATCTCAGTCTTCTGTTCACATCTATCTATCTATATATTTCAGTCAGTATCTATCTATCTATCTATCTATCTATCTATCTATCTCAGTCAGTATCTATCTATCTATCTATCTATCTATCTCAGTCTGTTCATCTATCTATCTAACTATCTATCTCAGTCTTTTAACATCATCTATTTCAGTCATCTATCTATCTATCTATCTATCTATCTATCTCAGTTTGTTCATATTTATCTATCTATCTGTCTATCTATCTATCTATCTCAGTTGCACTGTTTATATCTGTCTATCTATCTATCTATCTATCTATCTATCTATCTCAGTTGCACTGTTTATCTATCTATCTATCTATCTATCTATCTATCTTTTCATTATCTATCTATCTATCTATCTATCTATCTATCCTAATCTGTTAATATGTATGTATGTATCGATCGATCTCTGTTCATGTCTATATAAGCTTTAATTTAAAATAATTATTTACACAAGAATTAAATGAGAAAAGGAACCCCATTGTATTTTCGAAGCCTTTAGAGAACCCGGAATATTAAAAAAAAGCCTCAACATATATCCTATTACACTAACTTTTTGCACTTAGAGACGTAAGATAGAAAAGAGAAAATAAAAGGAATTGTGAGAAAAAATAAGGAGACAAGAGATTTATGAAAGGAAGAAACAACCACGATGTTCTACATATTGCACGCACAAATACATACACACTCGTACCCATATTCGTACACACATGAATACACATATACAAAGGAGAAAAAAATCAATCTAAGGCTCATAAAAACACATACATTATTTTTTACTTAATATATAAAAGTGAGAAAATCAGCAGTCAATTGCTGATATCTCCTGACGATTGAACCGAGCAATTACATAAAGATTTGTTAAACGATTCATGATAGAGTCGGTAAGATCTGTTTAAAGTAACGTAGAATCTGCTTAGTACCTAGATGGGTGACTGTTTAGGGATAACGGGTGCCGTAAACTTTGACGTGCATATGGCGCAATGGATACCGGTCCGGCATTGAAAAGCGAAGAGTCGTGTTTCAATTCCAGTCAGGTTCATTATATTTACTTAGGCGCCAATACCCTTTGGAATGGTATGAATCCACCTCTTTCCCCCAGATATGGATTAATCAGTAGTATTTGTATTGCCTCAAAAAGTTTCTTAGAAATTTGAAATATTTAAAGGACCTCAGATTACATTTATTTGATTGAAATCTTTCTACAAAGATATATTCAATATATAAATGATAAGCCAGATATTTGTGGGCTAACTTCTGGGTTTAATAATAAGGTGAAAACATGTTTTCAAGCGAAAACCCTGGATTTTGACTACTTTTAGTTGTTTACGTAACCTTGTAAACACCAAATTTTAGTTAATATAATTTTATATAAGCTACCTAAACTAGCTGAAAACACCACGAGTATTACTACTTTTATGACTTTTCGTGACTTTGCTAACACCAAAGTTTTAGTTAATACTAGACAACCCTTTTGATCACTGGTAGTTCAGGTTATAAAACATTGAAATTGATTTCCATATTTCAAGGAAATAAAACTTTATTATATTATGATTCAATTAAATATTTCAATTCATTCATGTCATCATTGGAGTTCGGTTTACAAGTTCCATTTTAACGTTTTATTGATTGTTTACAAGATTTTTATAGGAATAGAATTTCCTTGAACTTTAAATAAGATTTACTTACAAATTTTTTTTTAATATGCCAAAAAATATTTTAAAATCATATTCACTAGAATATATGTTTTTAATTATGCTAAAAATCCTTTTTAATTATTTCAAATATTGTTTGTTTAAAGAAAGCATAAATATAAATAATTACTCTACAAACATCTGGCCGAATCAGCAATTTGGGATCTTTTTCTTTCTGTTTAAACTAAAGAATATTTTAATTAAAAAATTGTCTGTTTGAAGAAAATGAAATTAAAAGAAATACTGTATAAACAACTCGTATTTTTATACTTATTCACTTAAATCAGATTAACTTAAATCATTACGCGTTTAAAGATTTATGATAGAGTGTGTAAGATCTGTTCAAATGATCTGTGGATATGAGTCCTTTCGCTTAATCTGTTAACCATTATAAATGATGTTTTAGGTATTTGTTCGTCAGAATAAGTTCATTGTTTTATAGCAACAGGGAAGTTTTAATTTCCGAACACAGCCAGCATATTGTAGCCGTGTTCATAATGGATATTATTGAGAACTGCTTTCTTCTTTTATTTTTTACAGCATTTAAGATGAATAAATCTTCCGTGATAAATTTGAATTTTTAAATCAAATTAACTTACAAACATTTTATTAATATGCCAAAAATATTTTCAAATGATATTCACTTGAAAATATTTTCATAAATATGCGAAAAAATACTTTTTAAATATTTAAAATATTGTTTGTTTAAAGAAAGCTGAACTATAAATAATTACTCGACAAACAACTGGACGAAGCAACAAAGCGGGACCTCTTCGGGTCAGATTTAACTAAAGAATATTTTAATTAAAATATTGTTTGAAGAAAATAAAAATAAAAATACTTACAGTATAAACAACTTGTAATTTAAAACCTTATTCACTTAAATCAGATTAACTTAAATCATCATGCGTTTTAAAATTCATGATAAAGTGCATAAGATCTGTTCAAATGATGGATATGAGCGCTTTCGCTTAATCTGTTAGTCATTATAAATGATGTTTTTAGTATTTCTTCGTCAGAATAGATTCATTGTTTTGTAGCAAAAGTAAAGGTTTAATTTCCGAACACACCCAACAAGATGGCATAGTGTTTATAATGGATATTATTGTGAGCTGTTTTTCTTTTATTGTTAACGCTTCAATTATTTGTAACCGTTTTCTGCATTTAGATGAATACACACACACACACATATATATGCAAATATATATATATATATATATATATATATATATATATATATATATATATATATATATATTATATATTGTCACGTAGCCACGATTTCGTTAACCATATAGGCGTTAGGCTAAAGTAAAATCTTAAATAAAGAGAAAACTAGTTAGATATAAAAAGAAAATAAATAAATAAATAAAACAGAAATTTAATCCATCGCTTCCGATTCGCGAGCGAATATATTCTATGATCAGCCATATCCTTCCTTTCTCTTAACAAATTCTTTCTCTCCTTATCCTCTCTTCCACCCACAAGCCAAGGGCCCGTGAACTTTGAAGTGACCCGACGCGAGAGTGACCTGGTTCCAAGATTTCGCAGCTATCATGAGTAAATACCAGGCACCATCAGGGTCCCCTGCTTGCGATTCACGTGATCGGGACGTACTGAGCATGTGTTGAACTTTTAGCCATCACACAAGCACTGCGTGATTTGCGCCCCATCCTCCTGGGTACACGGTCAAGGACGAAGGAACCCACGTGACTGTCTTTGGGGACAGCGAAACCAAAAAGGATTTTTTCAGTTTCCTCTGACCAGCGGCAGTTGAACGTCGCTGGGCAAAAATCGTCAGACCGCCCACTGAGATGAGGAAGACAGAAAAGTCTGTCGACTAGTGATGGAAGGACTGCTAGGGAACTGGTCGACCCAACCAAATGCCTGTATGAAATGCTGTGGACCCTCGAACACTTGTGAAAAGAAGAAGAATCCAGGAACATTGTCGGTCGGCCAAGATACTGTTTTATCATCAGAACTCTCGCTGAATCAAAACTTTATGTGAAGATATCAACTCGACTACAAGATAAGTTGATTCTTTTGGCTTGATCTATTTTCATATATGTATGTATTCGCTCGCGCCTTCTATTCTTTAATGATGTCCTCCCCCCTTTGTTAAATGAATGTTCTTTTTTTTTCTTTCTTTCTTTATTTCGTTATATATATTTATAAATAAATGTTTTATTTTGAAATCCATCGTCTTGTGTCTGTTCTTCGTTGATTCCCTTGTGCCGCTTCCATTTCTGAGTGAAGACCGAGAAAAGAAACCACGTTTTCCTTTTTTTTTAGAACCCGTGGTTCATCTATATGCTACAAGTTCGTAACAATATATATACTAGACTATCTGTGACCCGTTGCTTTACTGACAGTTCAGGTTATAAAACATTGAAGTTGATTTCCATATTCCAAGGAAATGAAAATTAATTATATTATGATTCAATTAAATATTTCAGTTGGCTAATGTCACCATTGGTCCGGTTTATAAGTTGATATTTAAAGTTTTACTGATTGTTTACAGCATTTAATAGGGATAGAATTTCCGGGATAAACCTGAACTTTAAATCAGATTAACTTACAAATATTTTTTAATATGCAAAAAATATTTAAAGTTATATTCATTTGAAAATTTTTCTGTAAATAAGTCAAAAAATATTTTTATAATATGTAAAATATAGTTTGTTTGAAGAAATTTGAAAATGACTCTTCAAACAACTGGACGAAAAGCGGGATCTCTTTCAGACGGTCTTAACTTAAACATTTTTTTGATGAAAAAAAAAAATTCTGTTTGAAGAAAGTTACAATAAAAATACTAACCGTTTAAACAACTCACATTTCTAAATATTATTCGCTTCAGACATTTTTAAAATCAGATTAACTTAATAATATTTTTAAATTAAGGAGAGCAGATTAACTTAAATCATTATGCGTCGGATGCAAGGACGCACCGTGCAAACACACATGAATCAAAGACTACATATATATATATATATATATATATATATATATTATATTATATATACTATATTACCACATTTTTTAACTATAAATTATTTTTAATATATATATATATATATATATATATATATATTTAACTTTACCACGGATTTTAACTATATATATATATATATATATATATATATATAGTTAAAAAAAAAATCCGTAAGTAGTACAAGTGAATCCTAATAATATATAAAATAAAAAATAAAAAGGCATATAAAACTTTTTCATCAAACATTTTAATATTGACACGCTCCAGGGAAATGGCCATATAAATGGGTTACAATTGCGTATTTTCTATGAAAAAATTCTATTCATGCCGATTAATGTCGTTAATACTGTTTATTATAAACAGAGCATTTACTTAAATATTTGTATTTATAAAAAGGGCGTAAAACATAAAACAATATCTTAATATACATATATATAAATAGATAGATCCAAACACGATGACTACTTTCATGTCCTATCGCACTTTCACTGCTATGGACCTCTCTTCCTGCTATTTGCTTTCCAATCAACTTTGATATTCAAAAATTAAATTTAATATCAATGATTATCAACTGTCTGAATATTTCCCGCTCTTTTATTCTTTTCTCGCCTTAACAGTGTTTTCCTTCTCTATCACCCACCAACTGTTCGCGTCTCAATGACTTTATTGCCTTGCCTTGGGTAAAATGATTAAAAAAAAAAAACAAGTGTGTAAACCCGAAAACTTGTATACTAGGAAGTATAGCGTTTGACTGACTTCAAAAGCAATAAGCTGGTGAATGAAAGACTATGTCTGTCTTGGCCAAGATGAGGACAATAGTCCGAATAATGTAAATAGTGTACATAATACCTCATCTCAGAAATATATACAGATACTGAAAGGCCGAAACGCTGTGATAAATATGGCAACAAAGATGAGGACAATAGTCCGAATAATGTCAATAGTGTACATAATACCTCATCTCAGAAATTTAGACAGATACTAAAGGGCCGAAACTTTCTAATAAATATGGTGACAAAGATGAGCACAATAGTCCGAATAATGGAAATAGTGTACATAATACCTCATCTCAGAAATATAGACAGATAGTAAAGGGCCGAAACTTTCTAATAAATACGGCAACAAAGATGAGGACAATAGCCCGAATAATGTAGTGTACATAATACCTCATCACAGAAACATAGACAGATAATGAAGGGTCGAAACGTTGTGATAAATATGGCGACAAAGATGAGGAAAATATTCTGAATAATGTAAATAGTGTACATAATACCTCATCTCAGAAATATAGACAGATACTGAAGGGCCGAAACGTTGTGATAAATACGGCCACAAAAATGAGGACAATAGTCTGAATAATGTAAATAGCGTACATAATACCTCATCTCAGAAATATAGACAGATACTGAAGGGCCGAAACTTTGTGATAAATATGGCAACAAAGATGAGGATAATAGTCCGAATAATGTAAATAATGTACATAATACCTCATCTCAGAAATATAGACAGATATTGAGTTTATGTTGATTTGTTTTTTTTTTCTTTTTTATTTAAATTCGTAACAATTTGTCAAATAAATTTAAAGAGGCACTACTGAATATGGTTGTAGAAATTGAACCAAACACATGACTTTTCATGTTAACGCTTCCTCGTGTGCTAATGCGTATGTATATTAAGGGGAAAGAACTACGTTCAGGAGTTGCTCGGCAAAATGCTATGGAAATATATGTTTCCTATTATGGGTTTTTATTCTCTTATGGGAAAATATATTTTTGAAAAAATTCCTGTTAGAAATGAACTTTGAAAATGTAGAGAAAATAGCTACCATTAATTCAAGCCCGAAGATATTTGCTTTTGTTCGGGCAACAAAATTCAATCGTAGTTTTTAACTGTCACGACATTTGCAACTAACGGATTTTTTTTTTTTTTTTTTCTTTGAAGTTATTTTTGAAAAATTATTCCTCCTTTGTCATTCTAATGCTTCTAACAATCATTTTACATTGTCTTTTAAATCTTTTCCTTTTATTTCTTTAATTTTTGTGTTCGTTTTGCAAATGCATTTTATGGTAATCTTTTCCCTTGTCTTTTTAACTGCTTTGTGTGTTGCTTACTTTTTCCTTCTTTTATTTATGCCTGACCATTTTTTGATTCTTTGCGTCTTTTGTTCTTTCATTCTTGCATTCATATTACTATTCTGTCATTCTTTCATTTATCTCTTTTTTTTCTTTCTAGACTAAAAACTTTTTTTTCTTTTTTTCTTGTAAAATTTTCTTTTTTTCTTCCTTTCGTTTATTATTTCTATCATTATTTCTTTCTTTCTTTCTTTCTACACTTCATACATATATGTTTTCTTTCTGCCTTTTATTCATCTTTCTTTCTTTTTTCTTTGTTTGTTTGTTTCTTTGTTTGTTTGTTTCTTTCTGTCTGTCTTTCTTTCTTTCTTTCTACACTTCATGTATTACATGTCGTTCTTTATTACGTCTTGCTCTTTCTTTCTTTCTTTTCGTCTGTCTTTCTGTCTTTCTTGCTTTCTTTCTTCATACATTATAATTCCTTCTTTCTTTTTTGCCTTGCTTTCGTTTTTTCACTCGCTATTTGCTTCGAGTAAATTTTTAATTATTCTTTCTACAATTTATCCATATATTCACCTTCTTTCTTTCTTTCTTTCTTTCGTTCTTTCTTTCTTTCTTTCTTTCTTTCTTTCTTTAATTCATCCGTGTATTAAGTTTATTTCTTCCTTCATTTCATCCACTTCTTTCTTTCCTTCTTTCTTTCCTTCTTTCTTTCCTTCTACACTTCATTCATGTATTAAATGCCTTTCTTTATTACTTCATTCTTTCTTTCTTTCTTTCTGTCTTTCTTTCTTTCTTTCTTTCTTTCTGTCTTTCTTCATACATTAAAATTCCTTCTATCTTTTTCTGCCTTCCATTCGTTCTTTTTCTCTCAATTTGCTTCAAGTAGATTTTTAATTGTTCTTTCTACAATTTATCCATATATTCACTTTCTTTCTTTCTTTCTTTCTTTCTTTCTTTCTTTCTTTCTCCCAGCCATCTTTTCCTTTTCCCGCTTTTATCGTTCATATTTTTATGCACCCTCTTACACCCACTCACCGTTCTCCTATCACTTACAAAAACCTTTCTTAGCAAGAGATGTCAGTTATTTGCCATTCCTTTGAGCGTTTTCTTTTTCTCCTCAAAACTTTATCTTTCTATGTCGACATTTACATATATAGATATTTCGTTGATGCAGACGACCATCTATTTCTGCCGCCATTACAAAACAGAGTCGTCTTTATTCATCCTCATCAACAATGATTTGGGCACTTAAAAAATAAAAACAAACTCATCCATTATTCATTTTATTTTATATTGTCGCTTTTCTTATTGCCGTCACAAAATTAAGAAGGTGAGTTATCCTGTGTGAAGAAGAAGAATCGGTAGACATTAATAATGGACGGCGATAAGAAGTTTGTAAACCATTAGCACATTTGAATTTATATAAAAAGCATTATACGTTGCACAACGCAATCTTTTTATATATATATATATATATATATATATATATATATATATATATATATATATATATATATATATATTATATTCGATTCTCCTGTCGTATTCGTCGTATGAGGGTCAGGGGAGATTAGTTCCTAGGAACCGACAGCCCCACACCAGCACATGCGATTTGATTATAGTGGTGAAGAACTAGGCCGAATAAAGTGACCTGTGTCACTACGTGCCACAAGGTACCCAAACAACCCTCCGTAGCTTTTGTATTCAGTTGTCCTTCTCCTAGTCCAGTTGCCATCTAGTGCTATAGAACCTGGTCTGTTCTGCTATTCACCCATAGCTGGGGAAGAAGATGAGGATTCAAAACTATCCCAAGGGTATTAGCACGTAAGTGAATGTAATGGATTTGACAGATTCCTCAGTCAAAGGTGGAATCCATTGCTCGACCATATATATATATATATATATATATATATATATATATATATATATATATATATATATATATAAATTAAAGAAAAACAGACCACTTTAAGTTTCTATTATAATAATTTATTTCACCAGAACCCTTTTTAAGGGACGCTGGATCATCAGATAACACTTCCAAAAAATGAAACGAGAGATGAAATGAAAATTCACACTTTTGACGGGTAATATTAATTTTATGTAAAACTCTCTAAACTTATGTTAAACCCTCTCTAAACTCGACCATGTCTCTCACACCACTCTTCATTAGCCTCTCTGTTAAATTACATAAAATTAATACTACCCGTCAATTTTTTTAAAATATGATTACATCGCGACACAGAAATTACAATGTTTCGAAACTGAAACTCAAGTCCTAAAGTTTAATTTCAAAATTAAATTTAAAATTTAGAGCACCGTTTCATTCTCAAGCAATGTTTAGAATGACTAACCGAATAAATGTTTTACTCATTTATAAGTTGGAAATAGAGGTGAAATTTGGGGGTTTCTCTTTCTCATATCAAAGAGTCTCTGCCTTGATGAAGGTAGGAATGTTTATTGTATGTTAAATGTTTGCAGCCGTGTGAGGCTGTGTTGGGGATTTTTGTTGCAATGGTCTTTACTATTAGGCTCTGTTGTTTTTATTCCTATTTGTTAAAACTCTCACCGATTGATGATCTAGTTACAGTCTATTTTCGTGTTTGTTTATTATATCACTGAAATTATTAAGAAATAAAATAATAAAGAATAAAAAGATATCCATGACTAGGTTGGCGTATGTTGGTGCAACCTTTGTCCCCATAGCTGTTCCTGATTTTTGTCGGTACATTATTTAAATGAACATGAAATATTCGTTTTTTTAACATGAATTCAAGGCTTTCTATGATGAAATTTCCTTTGATACGATTTGGTAGCTCATGGGGAAACGTTTCAAGCCAGTATTTTATGTTCGCTATCATGTGGGATGTTGCTATATAAGTTCACAACACCCTTTGAGACCATATTAGTATTATGGTTTACCTCGTTGTTGGCGATGGGCTGTTATTCTTTGTCGTAGTGACTGGCCGGTTTGGCCAATGTAATGCTCGTGGAAACCTTTGCATGTAATGATCTATATTGAATTCTCTGAGTCACACGAGAAATCATTTCGAATT